AGCTTCTTCAGGCGATAAGGGGCTCGAATTTTTTTCAGGAGTTTTCCATTTTGCTAAGATTCGTTTTGATCTTGTTGGAGAGGTTGATGTACCTTCTATAAGTAATTTTGCAGATGCAGCATCACCTTCTGCACGTAATTTCATAGCGGTAGCATACGTTAGCTCAGATGTAGAAAAATTTTGTCGAAGATTCTCTGTCTTTTTTCGCTTTGTCACTTCACGACACTCAACAAAATTTTTTGATGGACGACCTTGTGGACGTTTTTGGCTTACAGACGAGAAAGATGTAGTTGGAAGACAGCGAAGAACAATCGAAGGAGGGCAAAATTTTTGAGAAAGCCAAAACTGATATTTCTTCAAAAATCGATCATTACAACGATAACATTCTCTCCAAAACCTGAAGTAAGGAGAGAAAAAATTTTTTGTTGTGTATTCTACAAGTATTTGCGCTGCTTGTTCATCTCCACTAGTATAAAATTTCTCTTGTAAAAAGTCATGTACACGATTTTTCTTTTCTTCCATGTCAGAATAATTTATCATTATGTTATGTAACATAAAACGCGTTATCTTTGTTTCTGACATGATCTTTTAACACTTTTAACACTTTTAACACTTTTATTTTAAACTTCGATGATTCTTCTTTAATGTATAGACAATAAATGAAATATATTAGCCAACATCTGTTCTTATACTCTGGCGATACTATACACTTGACTGCAATCAAGTCCTTTGTGCTCGTTCGTGCTCGTTCGCATTTGTTTGCGTTCATTCGCTTGTCGTGCTTATCGCGTTTGTTCGCTTGTTCGCTTGTTTTTTAAGCAGAATCTGATTTCAAACTTATATAAGACCATGACGAAAATCATCAAAAGTAAAGAAAAACGGACTTTAATTTCTCGCTGTAAAATCTTATTATGGCTTACAAGTAGATGCAGAACAGTGAATGAAACTAACAATAAACTATAAGAGCAAATAGAGTAAAAAATTGTTTACTCTATAAGTTGCGCATAGATGCAGACAAATTCAGGCTACTTATTTTTATTGCATTTTATATAATATATTGCTAATAATTTTATTCATTCGGAGGAATTCGTTTATTTTGTAGAGAACACTGAATTCAAAAATTTTTTAAATTGTAAATAATTTTATTACATACATTTAATTAAATGCGTTTAGAAAGCACTGACGTATTTAAAATACTTAATTTTACTAGATTAAAATATATGTAAACCGTTTTATTAGCTGTTCTTAATAAAAAAGTTTTCAATTTTTTAAATGTTGGAATTGTGATAAAATGGAAGAATATGAACTAGAAAAGGAACTTGAACAGATGCTCAGAAGAAAACTCAGAAGAAAGCTCAGAAGAATTTTAAAAAATATATTTGTTTCTTTATAAATTAAATTATAATTAGAAGTAATAATAAAAATAAAAAAATAACAAAAAATAATATTGTATTTTAGTGGTAATAGTAGTAGTATTAGTAATATAGTAAAAAAAATAATAATAATAAATAAAAAAATAGATGTAATGTTTTTTGTCGCATATTTTATATTTCGGACCACTGTGCGCCGCGGCCGTGTACCTCCGTGTCACGCAGCGCGGAAACACGTCGATCCACTTGCTAACCGCAAAAAGCAAGGTCGCGCCCGTCAAACGAGTGACTCTTCCGCGTCTTGAGCTGTGCGCGGCCACTCTGCTGACGACATTCACGCTGCACGTCCGCACCACGCTGAGCCTGTCCGCCGCGCCCGTGCATCTATGGTCAGACTCAAAGGTGACACTGCACTGGATCCAAGGGTACGCCTCACGCTGGAAAACGTACGTGGCGAACCGCGTGTCACAGATACAGCTACAACTCCCAAACGCGCAATGGCACCATGTCCCTGGGCGAGACAACCCAGCGGACTGCGCCTCCAGGGGGATCGCACCGAGCGAGCTCTTCCATCATCCGCTCTGGTGGGCAGGACCACCATGACTCCACAAGGGCGAACACGCGTGGCCGAGCGAAGGCCACGAGATGACTGACGATGACCTGCCCGAAGGACGACGTGTCGCACTTCACGCATTTAAGCAGGTCGAAGTCGAACCAGCGCTTCTCCTGCAGTTTTCTACGCTGCACAGATTGTTGCGCGTCACTGCATGGTGCCGCCGATGGCGACGCACCGTGAGCCGACGGAAGCCCTAAGCGCGCAATAACACTCGCAAAACGGGCACCGCGCTGTCACTCGAACCGAACAAACTCGACGACGCACTCCTCGGATAGCTTCGCGTAGTGCAGGCGCTGCACCCCGCCGAAATTGCAGCCGTCACCGCGCACCGCACTATCCCTCATCGAAGTCAACTCACACAACTAAATCCATTTCTGGATATCAACGGCGTGCTGCGAGTCGGCGGTCGCCTCAAACACGCAATCTTGTCACACGACGAATGACACCCGATGATTGCTCCGCCTACGTCATGGCTCACGCAGCTTCTCGTTGCATCTTGTCACTTGCGATCTCTGCACGGAGGAGTGCAGCTCACCATGGGCCTTTTCCGCCTCCGGTTCTGGGTGCCGAGAGGCCGGGCCGTCGTGAAGCAAGCCCTGCACCGCTGCATCACTTGCACGCGGTGGCGAGCCGCCACCCCACAACCACCGATGGGCAATCTACCGCAAGGGCGAGTCACCCCAGCGCGTCCGTTCCTTCGCACTGGCCTGGATTACGCTGGCCCGATCCTTGTTCAAACAAGCAAGGGACGAGGGCACAAGGCTTACAAGGCATTCATCGCCGTTTTCGTCTGCCTCTGTTCCAGAGCCGTGCATCTTGAAATCGTGTCGGACTACTCCACCGAAGCATTCCTGGCCGCCTTCCGCCGCTTCACGTCCCGCCGTGGCCTCTGTCAGGATGTCTACTCGGACTGTGGTACCAATTTCGTTGGCGCAGACAGAGCATTGCGAGAACTCCTACGCGCGTCGTCATGCGACGGCCGTCGCATCGCTCGCGCTGCGGCCTCAGACGGAATCAGGTGGCACTTCGATCCGCCGGCCGCACCGCACTTCGGAGGCCTCTGGGAGGCAGCGGTGAAATCCACCAAGCACCACCTGCGGCGAGTCATTGGCGAAACCACACTGACGTTCGAGGAAATGTCCACTTTCCTCGCTCAGGTCGAGGCCTGCTTAAACTCACGGCCGCTGCAAGCCTTGACCGACGATCCTGACGACGTCTCAGCGCTCACTCCAAGGCATTTCCTCATCGGCGCGCCTCTTCTGTCCGTGCCCGAGCCGTCGCTCACTCAGGAGGAGACCAACACACTGTCCCGATGGCAGCTCGTGCAGCAAATGCGAGATCACTTCTGGCAGCGGTGGTCACGCGAATACGTCCACACACTGACCCCGCGAACCAAATGGCAAGGGCCGACCACCAGACCTGACCTTGGAAGTCTGTGCCTCATCCGTTCCGAGCTCACACCCCCGAGCCGATGGCCTCTCGCACGGATCATTCAGCTGCATCCAGGGGACGACGGTGTCGTTCGGGTGGTAACTGTCCGAACATCTTCGTCACAGTACGTTCGGCCCCTCACAAAAATCGTGATGCTTCCCGGGGCCTCGGACGAAAAGGCATTACTCGCGACTACGCAATAATGCCGCCCCCCTCGCACTCGCAATCGTCAACTTGCACGTGTCGAAATGCCTCTGTCTCCACTCGCTGCGCATCCAGCCGTAAATTTGTAGTTGCATTAATGCAACACCAGTAGCACAGAGCCACGCACCTTCGGCGAATTCACTCACTCACACGACATTCGGTCACACTGCACAATTAATTCACGTATCACGTCCCGCACGTCACCATGTACAGCACTTCATGTGTCACATCGTCGGCACAGTCAGCGCTCTGCGCAACCGCGGACCGCGATCCCTAGCGGTGATTGATGTCGCCTCGACCCGATCAATCACGACATCTGAGCGCCCCGCGCGCGAAACTATTTCGTCATAGCATGACGAGGCGAGCGGGAATGTTTGAGATCGCAAAGTGCATCTCGCGTAAATTTATTGTAACCAACGTTCCCAATCATCGGAAAAAACAGTTACATGCTCATTAAAGCATGACGCCCTCCGATAAACACTTGGACAAAAAAAGGGAACACAGAGCTTACAAAATAAACATTTAACCGTCTGCTGCCCAACGGCAAACCACGAATTGCACTCGCGCGTGCGCGCACTAACGCGTCACAAATTCCGTGAGCCAATACGATGGCCAATTCCGCCTGCGCGCAAGTCAACAACGACTCGTTTTAACAACCATAAACGAGTAACCAATAAACTACAATTTGTGGGGGTCAACTTGAGCGTTTTTGAATGACTCAAAACGATTGGTTACTCGCAAAAATAAGCCCCGTTTTTCCAAGTATAAAGGGTCCAACCTCAACCCTGCTAACGCTTTTTTCGCACTTTTCTCGCACCGCAGTAAAAGTAGCACCGCTCCGCGTTCTTTAAACGTTCGCTTCCGCAAGTATCGCAAATTTCGACTGAGTCGAATCGCTTGTATCCTCGCGCTCCATCCGATAGGGTGTTTCGCTTCTAAAAAAAAGGAGGTTTCGAGTGTTAAAATCTTGTATTCATTAATTAGACATTTATTCAGTGTATATGTGTGTGTAAAAATAAAGTGTTTAAAATTTGTTACAAATTCGTTGTGTCTCTATCGCACTCCTCACAGATCCTCTGCTTTGCATTCGCGTCTTTCGCGCTCGCGAACAGTTATATGTAATTTAATTTTCAAAAATTCCTGTATATATTTTATTTTTCTATTAAAACAGCTGAATACAACAACAGCTGAATACGAAAACAGCACAATCTTAACACACTTCTTCCGTCTTCGTCTGTTTCAAGATTTTGCGTTTACTCACTCGCACGTCTAGCGGTTAATTCTGTATATATCTATAGCACAAAAATTCATAAATGATAAGATCAGGCCAAGTTCCAAAAAAGACACTCCAATATGTTTATATTTTAATAATAATCTGAATTTTTAATATATTACCAACATGAAAAGTAACTGATATATTGTTCAAGGTGCAAATTCAAAATAAACATACATAAAATATACATAAAATGTATAAATAAAACTGATCATAATTTGATTCTAGAAAGTAAGTGATATATTATTCTTAGTGCACATACTAAAATTTTTT